TCTCCAGACGTCTCCCCTCCCAGAGGGGCCCGCCACGATTCTCCAGACGCCTCCCCTCCCAGAAGAGGCCGCCATGATTCTCCAGACGTCTCCCCTCCCAGAAGAGGCCGCCACGATTCTCCAGACGTCTCCCCTCCCAGAAGAGGCCGCCACAATTCTCCAGACTTGTTGCCTCTGAGGCATCATTCAGGGAAATCGGGGAAAGTGCACAGTAAAGGTGAGTGATGAGAAGTAATGTTTAAGGGTGAATCTGGTCTCTCTCTGAATAATGCAAGATGATATCAACAAAAATAAAAACATCAGAACAACCAGATAACCTTACAACATCTGTATACTATACGATGTATTTTTTATGGAAATGTATTGGGAAAATATTCATTAAGTTCTCTCACTGATGTCTATCACATTTGAATATTTCAGATAGTAACTGCTTTCAAGTCAATCTTGATAATAATATTGTGTGTCATGAGTCATTACAGTAAAATACGATCACTGAGAAATTGTTATCTGACCAGCAATATTACTTCTTAGTTTGTTTTTTTTACTGTCAACCCCTTGCAGTTCAGGTGGCCTAAGGGCTTATTGTGCATAAGAAAAGTACTTTTGTTAGTTAGTTTTAGTCATATCAACACTAAATAACAAATTATTTCTTTGGCAGATGCATCCCCTACAAGCAGAAAGATGAGCTCATCATTGTTGAGTAAAAAATGTCCACCTAATCCACATCAGCCACTTTTGGCAAAGAGTGATCGGAATAGGCATGATTCAGACTCTGACCAGTCCCCACCACGAAAAAAGGCACTAAAGGGGGATGCCTCAGAATCAGACCGATCTCCTCCAAGGCACTCAAAAATAAGACAAAGCTTTGATTCTGACCAGTCTCCACCCAGGAGGCGGCCGCAAAGTGGAAAGTACTCGGATGGAGATTTGTCACCATCTCATAGGCCTGGCCAGTCACAGGTGAGCAAATTGAGTTAAAAGAGAACTTCGATGAGTGATATGATTTGCTTCAATTTGCTGTATATGCAATTTCCATTTGATCAGACCCATGCTGTTTTCTTTTCAGAGTCAGAGGATGTTTTCAGGTGGGAAGGCAGGACTTGTTTCTATGGATGCTTTAAGAAAAGAGCAGGAGGAGAAGCGGCGCAGAGAGAGAAACAACCAGCTACTAGAAAGTTAGCTTGACTTTTTTTTTTTTTAAATACTTTTCCTTAACAGCTGTTAATAGTAGAGGTTACAGGACTTTCCATCTCATACCAACTACATTACCAATGCTTTCTTCAAATGCTTACAGATATTTTTTTTGGTCATAGTTGTGATTAGTTCTTGAAAGTTGAATGATGAAACCCTCATTCAGATGACATTTTATACACATAATCTTGCTATGACTAGATGAATCCCGCAACGCCCAGACGGTATTCCGAGACAAGAGTGGTAAAAGGAGAGATTTGGATTCAGAGAGAGAAGAACAGAAGAAGAAAGCCGGAGAAAAAGCAGCAAAGGATGAAAAATATGCTCAGTGGGGGAAAGGGTGAGTCTGCAATAAAGTTCATACAATAGAGAGTGCTATGTAGTATAATTGTAACAACATAACTGAAAAGTGTCAACTGCCAACTTTTTTTCCATGAAATAAAGTCACTGTGTGTTCATAGGCTGGCCCAGAGCCAGATGCATCAGCAGAAACTTGAGTATGCACTGCATGAAGCCCAGAAGCCGCTGGCTCGTCACTACGATGATGAGGATCTTGACCGCATGTTGAGAGAGAAGGAAAGGGAGGGAGATCCGATGGCTGTGATGCTCAGGCGGAAAAAGAACCGCACAATAAATACCCAAGGTGTTACCTACATTTACCTTAATCCCTAAGGTGACTGATGCAATATTGTTATTTATCACTTGCAATTTATAATCTAAACATTCTCCTTCCTGTTTTGCAGAAAAGCCACAGTATAAAGGCCCAGCGCCGCCTCCAAACCGGTTCAACATTCTACCAGGATATCGCTGGGATGGAGTTGACAGGTACAGTATGTGTGACTAAATGTGATACATCTGTAATGGGATAAATGTGAAGATATACAGCTCCTTCCTTCATACTGTTTTCTTACATCTCATACAGTTGCACAGTTAATTGTAGAATAATTGAGATCATAGTGTTGACATCTACATTGAGTTGAAGCTGATGTTTTGCTGTTAGGGTGTGTTTGCAGAATTAACAGTCGGATTCATTTGTGTGTCTGTCTCATAGATCAAATGGATTTGAACAAAAACGCTACATGCGGATAGCAGATAAAAAAGCAGGCCAGGAGGCATCTTATAAATGGAGCGTGGAGGACATGTAAAATGGTAATGGGAAACTGGATCAGGAGCAGAGCCGACTGCTCATCCTCTGTAGACTTGGTTGAGAAAGAATATCTAATCTGTTCTGTAGAAATGACTGCAGGTTAGACACATCTACTCAACATACCTGGCATTTTGAAATGGATGGAGAAGGATTTTGTTCACAATTACAATGCAGTTTGATACTGTACAACACACACTGGACTATAACAAACTGATACAAACATAACTATATAGCAGAGATGTGAGCAGCATCTTAATTATCAGTTCAATGTTGAGGCATAATAGATGTTTTTCACTGTTTTATTTTTATTTTTAATTTTTTTCTTGTAAAGTCCTGTGCCCTGTATTACAAGTGTTCAAAAATATAAGAGCACATTTTCAAGTTTCACTGAACGCATTATGGATTTGACAATCAGTCATTTTACAATATGGAGATGTAGTGTGGTGTACCAATTTAGAAAAATCCTATCCAATTTGATCCAATTGTTATTTTTACTTATAGGGGCAGGACCTAGAAATTTCTCAAAGATGGGTTAACTAATAACAGCACATTTCATGATAAGTGCCTCTGTTCCAAGAGCATTGCATGCTGGCAGACAGGTATGCACACATGAATAAAAAACACATTGTTGGTGTGATTTACACCTGTGCTTTTCCTGTTGTGATATGCAGCGTCCACTATGAGGTGTACTTTTTTCTATCAATACACCATCTGTTTATAATACATTCAATATCTTTTTTCAAAAATTGGGAAAAGTATAAGCAATTTGTTTAGTGTTACTTTGGTTCAGCATACTGATCAACAAAAACATAACCGTATATATGTATTTATTTACCCACAGTTATAAATAAGGCCAATTCTCTTGAATGCTGGTCTCCAGCGTAAAGATGCCTGAACCACGATCGTCTAAGTAGGAACCTTTAAAACCTAACGTTTCAGATCGGAATGTTTTTGCTGATGTACGCGGCTGTAAGCTCCTGTCTCTTGAAGTTGGTTGAAGTAACGTATTTCAAATGAATTAAAAACGTTAGGGAAACTAGGATTTCCGTAGCTAATTGGTGGTTAAAGTAGACAAACAACCGCTTAGTAACTGTCGATGAAAGTCGCGCATTGAACTTATTTTTGGTAACAATGGTTGACTGGAGTCCAGTAGCGAAGATATACGACCCGCTGAAAGCTGGCAGCATCGACGGAACAGATGTGGAGCCTCATGACCGGGCAGTATGGAGGGCTATGGGTGCCCGCTACAAGCCCAGCAAGGGCGTCCGTGGAGACCCATTGCTTACTTTATTTGTAGCCCGCTTGAACCCACAGACAACCGAGGACAAACTGATGCAAGTGTTCTCCAAATACGGAGACATCCAGCAGCTCCGGCTGGTCCGGGACATCGTCACCGGCTTCTCCAAAGGATACGCTTTCATTGAGTACAAGGAGGAGCGGTCTGTTTTGCGGGCCCGCCGGGACGCCAACAAGCTGGTGGTGGACCAGCACGAAGTGTTTGTGGATTTTGAACAGGAAAGGACCCTCAAGGGATGGGTCCCCCGGCGGCTGGGGGGCGGGCTAGGAGGGAAGAAAGAGTCCGGACAGTTGCGGTTCGGCGGCAGGGACAGGCCTTTCCGTAAACCTATTAACCTCGGAGTCGGTCCGATGCAGGAACGAGGAGGCGGTGGAGGAAGGGAGTGGGACCGACCCGGTGCGAGAGACAGGCAGGACAGGGACCGACACAGAGACGCCGAGTGGGGGAGCAGGGGGAGAAGAGATGACCGGGACAGAGGCAGAGAGAGGGATGACCGCAGACAGGGTGACAGGAGCCGGAGATGAAGATCACAGAACTGGTGTTTCACAATGTACTGATCTGACCAGACTCAAATTAAGACAGATGTTTTGATGACAGGCCAGGTTCATGCCCCAAGTGGAGGCATTTCATACCAGGTGGGCAGAGAAGAAAATGTGCCTGATGGTCAGATTGTACTAGTGTATATGAATGAAATAGTCTGGTGCTGCCATTTTTAGTTGGAACCCTTCAGAATTTCTGGAACCGTTATCAGGGAAATCCAACTTGGTATAAAAACTGGGCAGTTAAAAACCGCATTGTATTTCATCAAAATTTGCACTGTACTTTAAAGTGTTGATGTGCAGCCTTGCAGTAAGTGAGACGAGCTTTAAAAGTATTTTCTTTAAACTTATGAAGTACTTGTAAATTGGTTTTAGCTCTTACACATTTAACACACTTCATGAGGAAGGCAGTTCTGTTTCTTTCTGTTTTTGAAATCAGAGGTTTGTGTAATCTTTCACTGTTATGCACCATCGTAGCCGCTGATGATTTGTGCAACGTTGGCTCTAATCATTAGTGAAACCCAAATAAGCCAAAAGGAATTTTAACACAGCAGTGTCACTTTTTTCATTCCTAGTTCTCTGCAAGATGATGTTAATTGTATTTTTTTAAAGCTGTGCCACTAGCAAGTTGCTGTCATTGTGATGCAAAAATATTGATTCAACCAAATGTAAAGATCCCTAAACTGAATTTTACAAGTTGGAACTCCATTAGTTACCATTAAAACTTGTTTTGTTGTTGATTTGTGTGGCCAATGGAGCTTGTTTTGTTTTTCTGGTATTTTCAAAGGCACTAATGTGGGATTGAAATTAGATAGTCCTGCTTCATTTACAGTGAAACAGTTCAAATACATAGAACCATATACAAACAGAAATGAAAATGTGCAGGAAGTCTTATTTTTTAATGTTCACATTTGATCTAAAAGTTATCCATCTCTGTGACTTGTGCAAAGGTTTTGGTTCATTTATAAGTAACCGGGTAGACTGTTTTTTCTTATACTGAGCGGAAGTATCTAATATGATCTAAATCTTTTGTAATAATACAAAATGGTAAGATAAGAACAATTGTGAAGACACTTGTTGCAATATTTGATTGATTTATTTACTTATAATGTAAATTCATTGTTTTGCAGCCAAAGACAAGTTGGATGAAATATCACAAGAGTCTGAGGCAAGAAAGTGTGAAGGTATCTTCTCAAACACTTATTAGAAAATACACTTTTTTTTTCTTTTTACATATGGTATGTTAAAGACTATTGCTCAGAAGTTATGCTTGCTTGTCTGGATGAATCCACTCAGCTTGCTAGCATAGCTGGGATTCATGATGGGCCAACCAGGGAACGCCTCTCTTTGGACTGTGCTCAACTCGATCCTGTGAACCAAAGCACACTGATTAGCTGCTCTCTGCATGAAGCATTACTACATTATTATGATACTGACAAACTTGCTCTCACTTGAAGGCAGGGTTGATGCCGATGTTGTCCGGCTGTGGGAGGGCAGGTGTTCGCCTCCTGCGGCAGGAGGTTGGTGGAGGGAAATCCTTCTGATACTGAGACTGCATCTCTGTTGTGTCTTGTTCATGATTTACTGCTATTGAACCTGTCTGATTATGGGAGGCATCTTGCTGGTCCTCCACAGACTCCTTGTCTCTGCTTCTACTGTTTCCACTTCCTGATTGTCTTGAGGATGTGGTATATGGCCAGTGGGACTCCTGCTGTGTGTTCTTGATGAGGTCTCCTGTAGGGTAATCATCACTTTGGTAGTAAAGGTTTCAGATTATGCACAGTAATGAAATAACCCAATCCTTTGTCTGATGGCAACATACAGAAAAATATTACAAATTTGGTGAAATATTCCTTTTAACCCTTACTGTTAATACATCCCAACAGACGTTTTTTTATACTTATTAGTTTTCCATGTGGTATCTGCTGTCCTAAATCTAGAAGCCTGGAGAGAACTCCCAGCATTATTTGCTGACACTATGTAGTCAGTCTCCTCTAAAAATGGACCTATAATGCTACATCTTAGCAGTAATTTTGGCCTTAGATTTACATTTACAAACACAATTCACAGCTTAACAGATAAGGTGAGTTTACTCTCTAGGTTGAGATAGACTGCAGACCTTTGCATCTGTCTTGTGGGATGGGCCTGAAGCAAAAAGCTTCTCGTGATGTGGTCGCCATCTTATCAGGAGTGTCTGGGTAGAGAAGTAGCCCTGGGAACATCAGGTCATAACGAGCAGGGTAAAAAGTGCATTCTATAAATGTCTGATTATAAGAATGCAAAGTTTTCTGTTTTCATATAATTCATATGCTATTAGGTTAAAACAAAAGTTTAAAAAAATGTTACAGAACCTTTCATTTTAACACACTGCTTCAGAGTAGTCCCAGTAAACACATCCCAGCAAACACATCCCAGCTAGTGTTTGAGCTGGAAAACCCTCCATGTCTTGAATCATATGATGCTGTAAGTCATTTCTCATTTGGGACCATTTACTTTGAACACAGTAACAACAATGATAATGACAGCAATGCTCAACTGAGGATATGGACAGGACTTATGGTACATATAAAATACTACGAAGAGCACTTTTCCCACCTGAATGCATTAAGAATGATGCCTGAAACACAAAAGCAACAAACTTTTACCTGCCACTGTCGGCGGTTCCCCCCTGTAGGGTCGACTGCGCAGAAGGAATTCATGGTAGTGACGTGGGTGTTGTAGGTTGGCATTTTCAGTGAACATTGTGTTTTTTGGCTCCTGACTGTGGTGTTGGCCCACTGGCATCACCAGCTGCTCTGAATCTCTGGTGTCAGGACAACAAATGTTATAAAATGACCACAGGATCAACATATTCAGTATGAGTAGAAGGTAAAAACAACTGTGGCAAGCTTTAAAGATTCACAGTTCATATGTATTTCAAATTAGGAATATTTATTTTATTGCTTACCTTGCATGAATAAAAATACACAAGATGTCTTACAGTTCTATAGTGTTTCCCTATACTGTCTGTATTTCTCTGTGTTGTGTCAGGGGATATACAGAGCTACTTAAAGCTTGTTTACTGCAGTAGTCATGGCATTCTATTCTTCTCCAGTGAGTGACAGATACCAACTGAGATGACGCTGGAGCACCAACAGAGAGCTGAAATGTTGCAGTGGCCACATGCACAGCCACTTATAAAGGTGATCATCCAGTTTTAAAGGTTTTGAAGTGGTGCTGGTTTTAATGTGGAACAAATCAACATAACTAGCAAAGTTCAGCTTTGCTTGTGTTATGTAATGTGTCCAAAAAGGCCATGTCTTGAACCAGTCACTCAAGGAAGATATACAGTAGCAAGTGTGGTGATGATAAATTTAATTTCACTGCTGTTTAGTCACACATACTGTACCACACTGTCACAAAAGCAAAGGAAAACATGTCGCTTATTCAGTGGTTGCCCCGGAGCATTTGGCCAGCATACAGCAATGCACTGTGCCTCCCAGTGTTCAGCTGGCATATGCTTCTTTCATATTAGGGGGCCTGTTTGAGCCTGTAACTTTTCAGTAGGGAATGTTACTCCTGTGACATTATAAATCATTTTATTTAATGCATTTTAAGATCCTCTGTGGTGAGATGTTCCATGCAAACATCCAATCCACTTTCATTTATGATATTCTGTTGATTATAGATAAGTATGTATGCTCTATAATGCCTCCAGTAGGAGGTAAGATGTAATAATAAGATGTAATCGTGGCCATATTTGTCACAGGCTTTCAATATTATGCGTGCATATTTTCATTATGTGTGCAGTGTTTACATTGACACGTCATAAGATACAACATAAGACTTATGTCTTTCACAAATTACATATACCAGCAAAACATAACACAAACATTAGGTAGCTTCAGTTTTTATAGTCTATACATTTTTTACTTGTAGCTTGAATATTTCTTTATGTGTGGAAAAGAAAAAAAGTAGGCTAATAACGCCAGCCTTATCTGGCTTCAGCTAGGATATTACTACTATTTCAGCAATGTTAAAAACTACAAAAACTTAATAGGCTAAGATAAGACAGAGTTATTAATGTCGTTATCACATAGATGCAGACCATATGTATGTCTAGTTGGCAGACTGTGCATTGATTTCAGCACGCGCCAGCAGGAGTCTCCCGTTCCCATAGTAACAAGCCCTCAGCTAGAGCCAAATGCAGAGTTAACGACACAGTCTCTACCGACCATGCAAAACTAAGCTTGGTGCTTTCTTTTCGCGACTGATGGTGTATTCTCTATCAACTAAAGACTCAGTAAGAAGTGAAACTTAAATTCTATTTTAATATATTGGTTTTGATAGGCTGGCGAAGCATCGTAGAGCTCGTTATATAGCCTAACCCAAATATCTCTCTGTTACTAGCTCTGCTATGTTTTAGTGCCCGGAAGTTCTGGGGGAAAAAAGTGAGAAAGGCATGAAAAGAGGGAACTGGAAGAGATTTCTGTCCAGTTTTCTCCCAGAGCAGTCAAACACCATTTTCTCTCGCAAACCCACCGAGGGGACAGACAGAGAGCGCCTTATCTAATAGGCTAATTCACTGGGAGTATTAGTTTATCGATGGGTCTGCCGACGCTGGAGTTTAGTGATTCTTTCCTGGACAGTCCGGAGTTCAGAGAGAGACTACAGTGCCATGAGATAGAGCTGGAGCGCACCAACAGGTTTATAAAAGACCTCATCAAAGATGGAAACATGCTCATATCTGCACTCAGAAGTAAGTACACGCTGATTAAGAACTAGTTTTCAGGATAAAAGTGTGTTACAGTAAGTTGTGCCTGCTGCCTGATAACAGAAGGCAACCCAAGGCCATCGATTCAAACAGATTTGGCCTACATTGAACTTATTACACTGACTTGTGCAGTTAGAAAGGTGGTTACAGTGTTTAACATGGGCTATACTGTCGATATACCTTTTATTAAGCCGCCATGGGTTTTTGCAATTTAATGTTTTTGAAGTCTTAAATCAGTTACAAGCAACCAATAAGAACAACTCTTGGGTTGCCAGGTTGTAGAAAGTCCTCCCCAGCATGAAATTGTGTGTTTTAACGCTTTATTCATCAGCCCTCCATAGGATTGTGTGTCCAGTTATCTGTTGGGAAAGTGCTGCAGGACAAAAATCCATTTGTAAACTCCCTATTAGCATTTATAACTGCAGACTGTATGGATTTTTATCATACAGGTCCGCTTTACAGTAAGATGTCTGTGTAGTAACAACAGCTGATTCACTGATTTAACAGAAAATTTGGAATTTTTGAAAAGATTTATTTTAGTAATTTGGATTTTGGACTGGTGGTTTGTCAAATCAAGATGTCACCTCAGCTTTTTTTGATATTAGAACATTTTCCACATTTTATAGACAAAACAAATAATCAAGAAACACATCAATTTAATTGATAATGTAAATAATAAATGCAGCCCTAGTGAAAAGTGCCCACGGGACAAAGCAAACAACTCAACAATGGTCCAACCACCAGGAGGCCCAAAAAAACTCCAGGCTTAAGTGAGTCAGCTGGTTTGTGCTAGTTGATAGAAACTTTACCAATTTAATAATAATTAAGTCTAAAATGATTCAGAAAATAGTGAAAAATGCCAGTCACGCAGCAAGGTGACATCTTCAAATCACGTGTGTTTGACTAAAAATACAAAACCCAAAGATATTCATTTTATGTAAAACAGACAACAGGGGCAAGTCCTCACAAGAAGAACAAATTAGTTTATAGAATGTTTATCCTTTTTTCACGATAAATGACTCATACAATCAATCAGTCAAAAACATCGATTGTTCTTATTTTGCATTTTACATATTGCAGAATTAATATACTGTATGTATACAAATATATTAATGTATACATTACTGTATGTAATGAAATGACCACATATCAAATCTGTGGCCTGGTTGGATTTTAACAAAGATTAACTCCGTACACTTCATGGAGAGGGTGAGGAAGCAGCTCATTTTTGCTCTGTGATCCCCTGTCATATTAATCCATCCATGTCAAGGAGCACCGCGTCCCTTGGCATGTGG